GAAAGTGGTGGCAAATCCCTTCCATATTCTTGCTACAAGAACTACGCAGATGCCTGAAGGAATACACTAGGATGACATTTTATGAATTGCTCATGTTTTTTGTGAGAAAAAAATATACAGATGCATGAAATGAATTCACTAGGAGACTCCATTAATTGTAAAATAGCATTTCCATGGTTTTAACAGGGTGCAATTTCCTGATTTAACAAGAGAAACATATGAACATGCACAACATTTTCTCGCTCCAAATGAGTCGGGTGCCTTTTCACCCACACCCCTTTTAGGTTTTCTTCCCTTTTGCTGCAGAGCTACTAGCAGCTTCATTTATTGTAGAAAACAAAAAACAAGATTAAAGAACAGCTGAAGTGACATGGCGCAAGGAGGAAAAAGTGGACTACTAGTATCTCTGGAATTTCTTCAAAGAAAAAAATACAAGTGCCACTGCAATATAACAAAAGGCTACTGAAAGAAAACTGAAAGCATGCTTCCTTTAAAACTTCCCTATTAAAATCCAAAAGTCCAAGATCAGGGAATATTATAAACTGAAGACGGAAGCATCCAAAGGAAATACTTTATATATCATTATTAATCTTCCAGAGTTCCAGCTACTATGTGAATTGAGCTCTTACAATTGTTGAAAAACATTTGCCCTTTTGGTTTTCCCCAAACTACTTTGAGGCTATCAACAGAATTTGAAAAATATTAATATTCAGGGGATTTACAGCGCGACTCTATTCAAACCGTTTCTTACAGAAATGCTGCAGTGTAAATGCAGCCTATGGGCTTCAGAGCAGCACACAAAGGATTGCAGACATAGGACCTAAGCTTAGAGAATTATCTGAGTCCTTCTAAAGTCTTTCCACCCTTCTCACGTGTAGAAATTTTAGGAATGCATTCTTAACCAAGGACTTTGTATTCACATTGTTTTCGATTGATCTCACACACACTGTCTAGAAACAAATCCATTTTCAGCCTATGCGGGAACACCTTACAAAATGTTTGGAATCCAATCCAGTACAAATTTACATTTAATTTTAATAAATACCCCAGGACACGTCACCGTGTGCTAGATCATGCCATCATACTTTTGACAGGCGTTGGCCTAGCAGAAGAACTTTCAAGAAGATCCGCTTCCTTTCATAGCTGTTTTTAAGGGCCTTTTCTCAAGAAATGCTGCTCTTAAGAGAATTTAGAGTAGAAAATTCAATGATAATTGGACATAAGTAGCCCCAAAGGAGGGCATTTCCTCTCTTCCTCCATTGAGCTCACACATCTACTTCATGTTAAGGTTAAGTGAGAAAACTAACCCAGAACAAGGTAATGGGAAATGTAATTTTCCTACTGAGTGCATAAAATGCAAAGGCTGGAGAACAGGGATGGAAATTGAATTTCCCACATGATGAGATGAATCCTTATAATAAAAAACATCATATTTTTAAAAAATGGTTTGTTTCTCAAAGCAAACAGATTTTCTTGTAGTCAGATTTACTGTATGATGGAAAATATCTAGGTCTGAAAATAAGGTATGTTTGCCTCCATGGAAAATGTGTCTATTAAATAATCAAGGTTTGGGAGATTATATAGAATATGAATACATACACAAACACACGTAAGTATAAAGCATATTTCTTGCTCTGGCACTGATCTGGTTTAGATCTGGAAAAGTAGGATTTTTATTATTTAAATAAACATAAGCTACTGTTTATCAGCTACCCAGAGCAATTAATAAGCTAATATGGGATATAAAAAGATAAACAAAATAGATATATATTTGTTTTTTAATATATTAAGTGCATCCCTCTAGAACAGTAAAAAAGCTAGAAAAGTAACCTTAAAAGTAAAATCACATTTATCATGCAATCCTACTAAAGATGTTTTTTTTACTAAAAAAAAAGAGTGACATTGACTTAAGTCTAAAGACTTATTCTAGCAGTAAGTCTCACAGAATGGGATTAGTTTCTTTCTCAGAACTACACCACAGAAATCTGATCCTATGCATGTGAAATTTAAATTAGATCTTAAATTTGCAGAGCAGAATTCATTTCCAAATAAACCGACATAGGATTGCACCATGCATACTTCTTTACAGAAAAAGTTGATCTGACAGTTATATCAAGAGTATTCCTAAGAAAATAGAACAAGGCCCAAACGGACACCAGAAATTCTTAATGCATTCGCTAGCAAATGGATCAGGTCTCACAGAATACACTTGGATTTTCAGTTTTCTGGAATGTACAGTCACAGTTGCAGGTACTCAAGTAACACTGCCTAAAATCTATTTGAATTTTTGTGTATGAAATTTTTTACGATAGAAATACCAATAGTTTTTTTGTAGAAATCATTTTGAAAAATATAGCAGCAATGCAAAATACCAAAACTGAAGCTTTTTGAAAAATAACAAAGGGCATTAAAATTGTTCATATTTATTTGGCCTTTACACCTTTGATATGTTTCTATTACCGAAATGTTAAATTCCAAAGTATGGATTAAAATTTAGCACCATGATCCTAGAGTTCGACGACATTTCCCCCACATACACTCAGAACTAGGTGAATGATTTGTTCATTCAGAAGATATAGACATATATAATGAAAGCAGAGTTGCCTCTTCATCTCGGTCTTAAATGTGATCTTGGTTGACATCTTTGGACCATAAAAGGTAAAATATTCCCCACCTCCCAGCTGGCTTTCAAAGTTTTTGTGCAGAATTATATATTTTATTTATATTTGTATTTCCAATTAATACTAAATGCCTCTTTAAACCTATGTTGAACTAGGCCTTCTTTTAATAATAGTTTTAATTAATGTTTACCAATAGGTATGATCATGGTTAAATAAATGGTTATATTTTAGTGGATGGAGAGTTTATTTTATTAATGACATGGGGTGTAGGCTGCAGATGGAATAGATTGTGATTATTGTGTTGTCTGAACGAAGTATACAAAGCTGTACTTTTCATTCCCTGTAAATAAATTTTAAAATAGAAAGCTGTCAGACTGTTTTAAAATCAGAAAGATTAATACACTGGTGAACATACTATAATGTGGTTAAGTCTTATGGGGATATAGGACAATTATACCATAAGGCACACATTATTTATGGAAAGAATCATTAATGTGTATAACGTTCCCCCCCAGGTATTAACATTTGGATCAACTTTTAAAAGTCAGAGTCTTACACACAATTACTTAGAAATAATTTCTACTAAAGTCACTAGATTTATTACTGAATATGTATATGCTGAAATTATACAGCCATTATTTTTCCTTCACCAAAATTCTGCTTATAAAACTTTTTTACTTAAAGGCTTTCCACAGTGTGATATGTATGTAAAATCAAATAGCTTCTATTATTCAGAATACAATACATTTAGGTTTTTTCTCCAGAACTGTGTCAAACCAAACAATCACAGCTGTTAGGAATACTGTATATTTTCAAAAGCTGCCTCATCGCTGGATAAATAACTTTTTAAAAAGCATTCCTACAAACAATATGACAATCACTAATATTCATACTATTTCCAGTTATGATTATCATTTTTTTTCTGAGAAAGAAACTTCATTTTCTTTCTAAGATAAAGAACATAAAGAAAAAAAGGGAAAATAAATATTGGCACTCTTGAACTAAGGCCCCAAACCAGACATGGTTACAATGACTTGCAAATTTGGGAGACATAAAAATACATTTCATGTGAACATGGGAAAAGGATGGAAAACTTCAATTCAAGCACATTTAAATAAGTAATTCGCCAATATTACTCAGCTGGTTGCATTTGATATATTTTCAAAAGATCTAAAATTTTAAAATCAATATTGGAATCCGTACTTATTCATGTTAATTTTTTTAAAAAAATGTCTGTAACATTCTGTACGTTTCAAATTGGTATGAAGGCCTATCACAATGTAACAACCCAGAGAAAAATTAATTTCTGCTAGGAACCCGGGACTGTTCGCCAGGAAAAGTTAAGCACGTGCTTCCTCTAAAAGGGACGCGACTTTCCAGGGCTCCATTTGGGCTGGATTGAGGGATCGATACCGCCTGGTGCTTCATTTCATAGGGGAAAATCTGAATCGCAGTGGCTGGGTGTCGCGGGTGAGGAAGGGCGACGTGTGGAGGGAGAACAGCTTTCCTTAAAGCGCATATTCCGAGACGGGAAGAATTATTTCACCGACCCCAGACCCTTGTGACCCTTCCCCGCACCTTCACAATAGAAACTCCTTTTCGGCTGCTTGCCTCGCCCGCGTCTGTCCTCTCCCCTCAGGGTAGCGCCTAGCCGTACTGCAAAGTTAAGAGCCGAGAACTGGGACTTTGTAGGCCAGTTGAAGGCAGAAACTTCTCATCTCGCCCGCAAAGACCCAGCCCCAAACTCCCAGCTGCTCGTCCGAAGAAATGAAACCGTTGCTTCTTACAATGATCAGGGGAAGAGAGTGTGTGTGTGTGTATAGGGGGGGACACACCCGTACAAACGGGGAGCCACAGATCCTTTTCAGCAGCACCTTAACGCCATTCCATTTTTAGCCCCGTTTTGGGTTCGCCGGCGGGTTTTAAAAGCCCAAGTGCACCTTAAACTGCCAATTAGCTTCTTGCTCTTTAGGAAACGCGCCTTGGAAAAGAAAAAGACAAAAAGGAAAGAATTATGCTGACCCGGGTAGTTCTCCCAACGGGGAAGGAAAGGGTGGATCTGCAGGAACGTGTGGAAAAGCAGGTTCGAGTCTGCCCGGGGAACCTGCGCACGCCACCCGACCGCTTGCAAAACAGACCGCCCTGCCCATCAGACGACCATCGAACGTCTCCCCGGGAAAAGATGTCCGCGTGGAGAGCTCGATCGAACCTGCCCGAGATTGATTCCCCCCCCCCCAAAAAAACCCGGAGATTTAAAGGGTCCCCGATTCACGCCAGCCCGTGAGCACCATGAAACTGACAAGAGCCGAACCCTGGCAAAGGAGCTCCCAGCACACGCGTGCGTAGTCGGCCGGTCGGTCCTTTCCCCTCCCTGCTTACCTTCTGTCAAGGCGGGGGGGACGACAGGCAGCAACCCTGGCGCGTTCCTGTGGATTGAACTTGCTCGTCCTGGCCAAGATCTTCATGAGTTAGACTGGACGGCACAAAAACGAGGAGGTACGGGGGGGGGGGGGGGGGCAGGCTCCCGCCCCTCGGGAAAACTAGAGCGGCTTCGTGGAAAAGGCTCGCCGGCCACATTTTTTTTTCCACTGCTTTAAGGAAAAAGGGAGCGGCGGCGGGGGGGTGACCGGCGGGAGCCCCGGAAAGTCAGCAACGAAGGGCGGAATTCCAACCGCAGGAGAAGGCAAGAGAGGCACGAACACACACAAACACACACACACACACACAAAACACCCCTGGCCGAAAAAGAGCGCCTGGATCCGCGTGTGGAGCTGCGATTCCACCACCCGTAAAGCCACGGCGAGAGTCCCACGCCGCTGTCACCGAGCGCGTGTGTCTAAGTTAGCAGCAAGTATCCCTCGAAAGTTTCCGCCGTGCAAAAAAAAAAAAAAGAGAGCCCCACGTGTTAGGCGATAGATCCAGAAGCGCTGGGCTGGGCTGGGCTGGGCAACAGTAGCGGCGACGGCGACACCAGCAGCAGCAGCACCAGCAGCCGCCGCCCAGGAAGAAGAAGCGCGCCCCTAACCCGGTTCCCTCCGCTCTTCTCCTTCTCCGGGCTGTTTAAGGAAGCACCCTCGTCCCCACCCACTAAAGTTAGACCGCTCCGATGGTGCAATTTCGCTTGGCAGATTTACAGGGTGAGCGCCACCATCCAAAATAATGGACCGCCTTTCTGTCTCCACCTCCCCCCCCCCCCCCCAAAATATATATATATCCCAGCTAGGAAAGGAACGACTGGGGCCGCTCGCAAACCTCCGCTTTGGAATTTCGGGCCCGATCTTGATACGGCCGTTGGGTTTCCCGATGGTCTCTTCCCCACCCCGCGTCCCGCCGCCCAGATTCCGCCCCTCTCCCTCTGCTACCAGCTGAGCATTCAGATCAGGGCTGTTTTCTTTCTTCCAACCTTTGCAGGCGCAAGCTAGGAGAAAGACGGCCCCCTAGTGGTTATAGCCAGTCTCCATAAAGAGCCAGACGATTAAATAGCTCTCCCCCCCCCCCCCTTTCCCCTTCAGTCATCTCCCCGCGGCAAAAGCCAGCAACGCGGCGGGCGCCGTTTATGCCCAGTGCTGTAAAGAGAAGCCAGCGCGGTGGCGACCGGCGACGTGCAACTTTACCGTCGGATCTCCCACCGGCCGCGATCGTCTCGGGGCAATTGCCCCGATGGTGCCTGTCGTTCCTTCCGCGCCTTGCAAGGGAGCCTCGCGGTTGCTTTCTGCTGAGTCAGGCCCGCGCTGATTCGAACTCGGGGACCGTGACAGGTAGCGAATTTCCGGCAGCTTCGCAGCTTTTCCAGGAGAGGCCTGAGCCAAGAATGACTCGGATTAGAAGGCAAACCCCCAAAGACGCAGCGGTCGGGCTCCCAGGAGTTCGCGCGCTCGTTTCCTTGTCAGCACACGCAAAACGCTGGGCATGAGCAATGCCCCCCCCCCCCCAGCTAAATTAGCTAGACAACAGCTCCCATAATCCTCCACCCTGTGAGGCCCAGGCAAGTAATGCCACCAGCTCTCTGGCCTTCAGCTTCTTTGGGGCCAATTCTACAACTTTTCCTTATGGGTGCCTTGGATTACATCTCCTAGTTAGCTGGGAGTTGTAGTACAACATAGCGATGGAGCCCAGTTTGGCAAATTACTCCTTTTTTTAGGAGGCCAATTTGTTAAATGTGTTTACTCCCCTGTAAAACCCAATGACATGATATAGTGGTTCAGCTGTTGGAATAAAATGGGAAAGGCAGGATTAGGTTCACAGCTATGGAAGTTCACTTTGTCCTTTCTCACAGGGTGGTTGTGAGGAAACATGAAATTAAAGAGAGTGCTTTACTGATATAAACGGCTGGAAGACTATAATTATTAGTAAGAGCAATAATAGTAATAAGAACAGTGAATTGTGTTGCAGTTTCCAGCTGATTTTCACCTGGAAAATTGGTGGTTCTAAAGAAGTCACTGAATTCCCACTCCCAATGGCCCTGTGGATGGTTGCTGATAAATTCTACACGGTACAGGTAGTCCTTGACTTATGATCTCAGTTGTGACAATAATTTCTGTTGTTAAATAAGGCAACTGTTAAGTGAGTTGTGCCTGACTTTATGAAGTTTTTTGTTTAATCATAGTTGTTAAACGAATCACTCTGAACAGCTCAAGATTGACTCAGCCTTCCATCCTTCCGAGGTTGATAAAATGAGGAGCCAGATTGTTGGGGGCCATATGCTGACTCTGTAAACCACTTAGAGAGGGCTGTAAAGCACTATATAAGTCTAAGTGCTATTAAGCTTCCCCACTTGACCGCTTGTGGAAAAGGTATCAAAAGTTGTTCACATGATTTCAGGATGCTGTAACCATCATAAATACATGTCAGTTGTCAAGTGCCTGAATTTTGATCATGTAACCTTGGGGATAATGCAATAGTCATAACTGCAAGAACTAGTGATTTTTTCAGTGCTGTTGTAACTTGGAACAATTGCTAAACAAATGGTTGTAAGTTGAGGACTACCTGTATGTGAAGGCCTTTGGTCTGTCCTTTACGCTCATGTAACCAGAATTATTAGTTATAGTACATTCAACTAATTCTGTATTGTAACCAACACAAGACATCTAAAGTAAATTACCTGTATCTAAATTTCTATACATTTTCTTGAGAAACATTTGCTAGTTATGCAACTAGATTTCCTTCTACTTTGCTGCATTGTTTTTTTTTCTTTGTTTTTTAGCAGATAACATTTTGATCATTTTATTGCTAGGTATATTGTTAGCCTTTTCTCATTGCTGCTAATTGAGTATTTTAAGTGTTGAGTTTATTGTACATTGTCATACATTTTTCCACCACCACCCTTAGATAGAACATAAACCACTAGGTTAAACATATAATTGGTTGCTGCAAAATAGATACCTGTACAAAATACATATTGCAGAAGAGCAATCTTTTATGTAAGAATCCAATATCAAATTTGGTTCAATTATTTGATGATAGCTACTTGTCCCATATAAGAATGACTATAGAATGAGAGCTTTTGGGGTATAGTGGTTAAGATGGTAGTCTAGAAACCAGGAGACTGTTCCACTTCAGGCATGAAAGCTGGCTGGGTGACTTTAGGCCAGTCACTCTTTCCTAGCCCATGACCTCAGGCTCTGGTGACAAGTCTTTCACAACAGATAGATCAACACTAGGTTGATGGGGAAGGGGAAACCTTGAACCTGTGCAAAAATGCTAGGAAGTAGAAAAAAAGAATTAACATTTCATAACTAAGATGTAATTTGTCATCAATTGCAGATAAGGTATCTGTTTAGCTGCCCTTGGGTCCTGGTGATTAAGGAGTTGCATCTATGCAGTTTTCTTGGTAACAATATGGAAGTGGTGTGCCATTACATTTTTCCAGAATATCTTTTTAGTTCTTAGTTGAGACTAAATCCCTGAGATTTCTGGTGGTTTCTTCTCATAAATACTATCCAACCTCTACTGAGCTTTTCCACCACTTGCTATAGACATCAGTCAGCATCACTGCCATAATTACCTCTGTATTCAATTAAGTTTTACACTGAAATATTATTAACTATGTCTCATGCTTTTTGTGGGCATTTGATCTTGTGTCTCTAATTGGTTTCTCTGTGTCCAAGGTATGATTAGGCAAAGGAGGGTAAAACATCTGAGACAGCAGACTGTGAAAACCTACAGACAAGACATCTGCCTTTAAGTTAGTCTTGGTTATTTTGCTGTTTTGATCCAAGAAATTATCCTGTTAAGATTGGCTTTTTTATTGTGCATAAATGTCACTTAAATATAGGTTGGATTCTAACTGAGGATGGCTAATGGAGGTATCCTGAATGTACAGCATAAAGTGAATCTGTAAGCTGAAGACTTATTGGTATCAGATGGCTTTTAGAATGATGAGATTAGCGTTCCCCCTCTTGGCATCCTGCAAATGCATTGGAACAGCTGTTTGTAACTTTCCAGCCAGAATGTCCATTGGGAATTAAGGAGCTACAATCTCAATGTATCTGAAGAAGCAAGCCCGTCTATGCACTCCAAAAATCAACAAGTATCAACAAGATGTCACTGTATCTCACTTGATCTCTCTATCTAAGCTTACCATACTGATCCTTCTCTTAACATGATCACATTTGAGTGATGCTGCTTGATCTTTAGTGGTCAACTTGCACAGGCGATTCCTTGCAGCTCTAGTACTGAAGACCCCCAGCCTTCAAGTACTCAACTTCTTAAATACTGAACATGCAAACATTTTGAGCTCATTTTAATTTTCATCAAAATGTGCCTAAAAGCATCCACTTGCAAACATGTAGTATTTAATAGATTTGAGAGATATGATCACACATACTTGCATTACAGCCCTGACTAATGACTGGAGAACCAGATAAGCAGGCTTTCCAGACTCAGAATGAGGAGGATCAGTGCAAAGATCAGTAAAGAAACTGTGCATGGGAAAATTGGGGCGGAACACGTTTACACACCCACATCCCCCAACCCTGTTGTGCCCGTTATACCTGCATAGTGTTTGAGTCATACCAGTTAATCTCTTTCTGGCAATGTTCTTGCCCAGTCCTGATATTTGGAGATCCAGTTGCAACCCTGTATATATATATATATATTTAAATGGAAAGTCAGGAGTAAAATGAAATGCAACTGAATAGAAATTAGCCTGTCATTCTGAACATGAATAATCAACTTGCAAGAAAACTTATCCCCTGCACTTGTTCCAAGGGCATGTCATGTACAAATTAAATCACAGGTGCTTCTGAGCAAGTTTTCCAGGCGGAAGGGGCGGGTTCAGTTTCTGGCATCTGCAGCTAGAAAAATTGGATTGCTGGAGGGAAGTTTTCTGCTTGAGAGCTGGCTTGTTTTTATTGATCACCCTAGACAATCTAAGCTAAAAAAAATAGACAAATTAAGTTAAAGCAAATCCTCGAACAGATGGGTTCTGTACAACATCACCACACCTTTTCATCCAAAATAGGATGTCAGCCACCTAACAATACTCTGAGTGTTGATCACACATGTTCTTTCACAACATGTCCAAGTTGACAGGTGTGTGGATCTTAACAACATTGCTCAGATACATGCTTTTTTCTGCCTGGCAGTCTTAACCATGAGGAGAAAATCATGCCATTTACATGAAGGTGAATCTTGCCAGTTACTGTGGGAGTTTGATCTGTGATATCTCATTAACATGCATGTATACATGATCACTGAAGCTGCTGTTATTGTGCCTATTATATGGGAGAGGCTGACAGTGATTGAAGGTTTTATTGAGGTTTTTTTCATACATATTTCAAAGCTATGTGAGAGACTTTCTTTTATGTATATTTAAATGCCTGGGGTCTTGGAATCTGATAAGAGAGATTGTTTAGAAACAGGGTGTGGTACAGGAACAGAGCTTAAGCAGCAGCCATTTGAAGAAAGTAAAACAGGGAGGAAATGTTACTTGCTCAATTAGCACGTGTTTGTTGTTTAAACAAATCCAGTTCTTAAAAGAAGCAGAGTCCCAAGCTCAGGATCTGAGGTGGGAAGCCAAAGTTATAAACATTTGAATGTA